AAATGCCTGAGATGGAATCAGTACCGTAGTGACACAACCCCAAATATATCTGCTGTGTCATAATCAGTATTTTACAGACACAGTCAGAAATGTGCATAGAGCTAGAATGAGGGTGCAGGAGTCAGGACTATGTCATTACACAGCACAACTTGCAGAGTGCAGTGGTCAGGCGTAATTGTGTACTTACATTGGTGGTCAGTGTGTCCCCTCTATAAGTGGTTATAGTACCTCCTTTTATTGGTGGTTACTGTGACCCCTTACTATGCTTGTGACTGCACCCCCTTGCATTGTTGGTTACTATTCCCCTTTAATCTGTGGTTATAGATCCTCCTTTCTTGGTGGTTACTGTGCCCCCTTACTATGACCCCTTACTATATATATATAGGTAATAACCTTAGAGCAATCATTCAATTTAAAACAGAAGTATTTGCTGCATTCTTTTGTAAGTGTGGACACATGAATACAATAACACTGGGTGAAATGAAACATAATTTAAAGGACAGGTTCACTTTAAGAGCTCATTCATATGGGAATCGGCCGGCATGCACAGCTCCATGCTGCGTGCACGGCCTTATCGGGCAGCTCCCGGGAAAGACATGTTCTGCGTGGGATTAGTATGTAGCCCCCGTCGTTCTCTATGGGACTACGCGGCTGTATGCTGCCCTACACTCACCCGCCCTGCACGTCCGTGCGGGTGCGGGTGAGCGTACTCGTACGCTGACAGGATAGATCCTGTCTGCATCTGAGCCGGGACACCCGCACCCATGCGGACCTGCACTTGAGGTGAGCGTAGGGGGACGTATGGCCATGTAGTCCCATAGAGAAGGACGGGGGCTGCGTACCTATCACACGCAGAACATGTCTTTCCCGGGAGCTGCCCGATACGGCCGTGCACGCAGCATGGAGTTGTGCATGCCGGCCGATTCCCGTGTGAATGAGTCCTAAAACAAATACCTAAGGTAAGCACCTGCATGTGAGGGTTAGATGAAATTGAGTTAGGAGGATAAGCAGAGTAGGCTAACAGGTGTGAGTTAGAAAGTTAACTTGTATTTTAAGTGAGTATATTTTCATGGCACAGACTTTTAGAAACAAGAGGCAGATGTTTAAGATCTAAAGACAAAATGCCCTTGGCACCTGTCTTGGGTAGAGGAATAATTCACTATGCTAATACGTGGAATTGTGGGTGCAGTGGGAGCAGCTGAAACGGTATGGTAAAAATAAAACCTAAGCCTACTCTGCTATCTGTCAAGAGTGTCTAACACATGGAGTGCAGAGCTCAGGAGTGCATAGCGCATGGAGTGCAGGGGTCAGGAGGGCATAGCGCATGGAGTGCAGGGGTCAGGAGTGCATAACACATGGAGTGCAGGAGTCAGGAGTGCATAACACATGGAGTGCAGAGCTCAGGAGTGCATAACGCATGGAGTGCAGGGGTCAGGAGGGCATAGCGCATGGAGTGCTGGGGTCAGGAGGGCATAACACATGGAGTGCAGGGGTTAGGAGGGCATAACACATGGAGTGCAGAGCTCAGGAGTGCATAGCGCATGGAGTGTAGGGGTCAGGAGTGCATAGCACATGGA